TATATATATATATATATATATATATATATATATATATATATATATATTTGTATTTACGTTATCAGGAGTGCATGATTAATGGATGTTATTAGCAGATTGTAAAGGTTATGTCATAAAAATATACTCTTGATCATATGTAGCATGGTGCAATTTAGGATAGTTGATAGTCCTGTAGCATATACAGTTCAGAAGGTGTTTGCTTATTGGTTTTCTATCTGTTAGGTATAGCAAACCAGTAATTTCACATGTCACCATATGTTGTATACAGGAAAAACTGCATATATAAAGGTCTCTCAAGGCCGAAGCCAGAAGTTTCCATTATACAAACGTTCTTCGTTTTATAGAAGTGGTTTCGATGTTAAACTTATACTGCAGGAAACTACCAAGTGTCCTTTATAAACGCGTCTCCGTTCTATCGAGCCGCGAACATTGCACGTCGTGTCTGATCGCGCAGCTATACGTTATTGCAGTATTCGTCGTCTATCCTGGACTCGCAGTCAGCGCTGGACGAGGCTCACCCACAGGTGGACTACACACCACCCTCCTTCATCACACTGCTGTTCACAGACCTGGGCGTGCTCACCCCGTCGGCTGTCAGCGACGAGCTCATCAAGCTCTACTTATAACGACTATATCTCGAACGCTGCTACGAAGCTCTCATGCACAGCTGACGATCGGCGCGCACAGTGGTCCCCCGATGATGCGGGTATATAAAGTCAGGGTATTCCCCGTAGCACTTACAGCATGGCATGCCACGCCAGATACTGGTTAGCCGTCTTTGTGGTTGTTTTTTTGACGGGCAAGGGCAGGATTTAATAACGATATAGAGAGATGTGGTGATTGCTTGTATGAGCGAGCTGTAGATTTGTATATATACTAATGTTTGATTGTCTCCGTGTGTTGTAGTAGTATCTTTGATGTGTAGCGATTCGAAGGGGAAGCATATCTCGGCAGGCGTTTTTACATTCTCTCCGTGCAGTCTAAACTCATTGCGTGAAAAATTTCTCAACGTGTTGGTTATAAAGACGTGCAAAATATATTTTGAGATACTGCTATCTATACAGAATTTGGTTCGTTTTGCCTACTGAGACGTATTTAATGGAATAATATTCTTCAGGTACAGTGGTTATAGTTATTTCAATCGGTTACAAAATGAGATGCGTATTTTGTTATAATGCACCAATTGCCATTGCAGCCAAATGCAGCAAACTAGATGGAAAAGGAGAAATAATGTCAGACAGAATTCTTACTAAAAACATCACCATGGAAACTGTTTCGATTCAACTTTTAATATCGTTCAAATAGACAATATATACACATTATATTTGCAAATGGGTTTCCTCTTCAAATTTCATTTTCATAAAACGATAATGAGTCATTCAAGAAATTGAATGCCTCTGCAAGTATAAGCAGAACAAGTACGTGACATGATAGAAAAAGTGTCAATACACTTGGTTTTCAGTCTCAACCACTGCTTTAGAGATTTTTGGCATGATTCCCATCTGCCACCAACATTGATAGTAGTGACTCACAGGGAAATATAGTAAACAGTTGAGGACATCTTGATTCACAGTTAACACACACGACAAACACAAACTCAGTGGCCACAACGCGTAATATTGTTATGTTGTAATGTACACAAAGCGTAATGTTGTTAATTGAGAACTTGCCATTCAAATATCTAACATACCATAGATATATATACAACACACATGTGTTGTATATATCTATGAACATACGTATAATAACATTGCTTCTTCTGCAACATCTGCAGATTTAATTCAACGCCACCTTGTGTCAGATCACTTCACTACTGTCTCTGGAGCTTTCTGGTTTCTTTGCAGGCAAAACAGTTAATCTGGGAACGTTTCACCGAGGTTCTATATATGCTGCAGCAAAAATTGCAGCAGAAAATTATCCGGACATGTTTCGCGTTCTAAGAATAACACAACTAAGGTACTCTACAGAAAACCAGACGAGATTACCGGCTGGTAACCTCCACAAAATATTACCAGCCAGTCTCATTTAATTCTCTTGCTCAAACAATCTGATTTAGCTATGTACCAATGAAAATAAGTGTAGTTTCCATATCCCAGTCTGTCCAGCCATTCAAGCTGGCCATTGGACCAAACACGGTCTTTTACGAATATTAAAACTTTGGTCACTTTATTTCCCTGCTTTAGCCCCATTCATCCCTGATTAAGTATCTTAAATTACCAATTCAGGAAAATTCGGTGCAGCTCATGTTTGACCTAAAATGCACACGGATATCAGGCTCTCACCTACATGAACCCCTTACCCTCCCGGGCCTCCCCCATGCACAAACATAGTATATAAGTAACATCATCATCAGACTCTACTGTGGACTTCTGCATTCTTAGGATCAAGTAACTCTCCAAAAAAGTCACGCACCTATATGCTTAAACCTGGTTGCCTGCTATTACAGAATGTGATTTGATAAGTAAGGCAATATTAAGGAAAATTCTTCCATATCTGCTTTTGCTTTCCACTCGCCTTCTCATAACAAACCAGGCTTCAGCAAGAATGTGAGACTCAATTGTAACCTGACATTGCAGTCCAACCCCCTTCCTTTCCTGTGTGACCGTCAATCATAATCTCACCTGATCCATATCGATGCACAGTAACAGCAAACCCTGCCAAGAGCGCTGTTTTCACATCGTTTTTAAAACACACGCACGTAGACACTGACAAACATACAACACCTCAAGAAACGGTCATTATTACTTCTTGTACTCTATTCGTTCCACCTTTACTTCGTCACCCAGCAGTTGATAAACGTATGTGACCACAGTGGAAGCTTGAATGTCCATCAGGACAAATGATGGCACAATCTCACTGAAAGCAGACAAAGCACACTTGACGAGGGTGTCTGAATTGGGCCAGAGCCACGTCCAGTTTTCAATACCACAACTTGCTCTTGCAGATTCACAAGGGTCGTTGGAAGCACGTATATATAACCACATAGCAACAAGTGGCTCAAATTATTATAGTAAATCTTTTTTGCTTATCATTTATTGTGTATTGACTATCTAACACTGACGTTAATGTTTAAGAAACTTTTAAATTCTTCTAATGTCCATGTCAGGGTTTCTTCTGAGGGAAAATTAGACAAAGGAGGTAATGGCCAGTTTGGGGGAAAAACGCACATGATGGATTCCAATACAGGATGTATTGATATACTTATAGGTATATAGATACAGGATATACTTATCAGTAAATACAGGAACATTTTCACAACGGCGATGTTAAATTTGACAACGGCGGTGCGCCACTGTGCCTCCTATGTATATAAGAAACCCTGCATGTGCTTAAACATTCATGATGTCTTGCTTCCTTGAAAACAAACTGGATACACATCGGACAAATCGCCAGCAGTTGGTCTGTACCTGTCGAGAGCATTGTATGCCCCTGTCGCTGATCCTGGGTTGATGTAGAACTTTCCCTCATGTTCGAATGCCTCGAATTTGTGTGTCTGGCCACTGATGAGAATGTCCACGTCTAGTTGCCTCTGTGGGGATCAAACACACAGCTGAATATGTACAACACTAAGTAGATGGCTTTAATTAACCTCCAATGTGCATCACTACCAGACAAATCGTATCAAGTGAGCTTCTACTTTGGTGCCTAGCTAAAATGAAACATGCATATAACACAACAACAGAAAAGATTTTCAATGCCCCTGTTACACTTGTGTGTGTATTCTAGATTCTGTAATATTAAAGGGGCAACAGTTTTTAAGCCTGTAGCCTAAAATTGGCACTGCTGTATCACAGCCGATTGCCTGTTATCATCGTTAAGTAAACAAGAAGCCAAAAGTGACAAAATGTTGAGTATTATGAGCCTGAGCCATTTGTTGGAATTAATTCCATAAGAAATGCAGTCTCCATTAGTGACCGATCAACAGCCTTGTGGTTTCACGCCGAGAACATTAGCTGTAGCAAGACACTCAGGTGCACCACTGTCCCGAGGGGTGTGACCATAACACTAGCTGGTCAACACTCGGTACCTGAACGCGACCAAATCTCACCTGTATCAATGACAAACTCTCCGTGTCACCCCAAGGAACGACCTGATGACCGTGACAGAGGCCGATGCGAAACTGACCGACAGTCACCACCTTCTGCTCTGGATAGTTCAAGTTCTGCAGCACATCACAACCCTCAGTATTAATTCATTCACTGTTAATTCATCAGATGACGGAAAGAAGAGCGTTTAAAAACGGTTATTCACTGGGGAATAATTGTTAACTGAAAACTATAAAACACAATTTATGTGAGTACACAGCTAAGTTAGCGTTTTAGCAGCAATGAAGCATTCGAGAAACCAGAAGGGAATTAATTAATTCTATTCTGACGATCAGTATCGAAGACTAAACGTTAAGCCCTTGGAAGGCTAAAGGCAATACTTTGAAGGCTTTTACAATCAAATGAATATAAACTATTTTGCTAAATGACAGCCATCATAACCAAAACCTTGCAGCAAACTTGACACCAGGAGCAGCCTCTCTTAAATGGATCGTTTACTCTAGGTTCTCTAGGATTATTTTCAGTTAATTTAGGTTAAAATTACGCTACATAAAAAGTTTCATGGTTCAATCACCATTAGAAATATTATTAAAAAATGTTTTAAAACTAACGACTACAGTTTGATTACAACGACGGTGGCGTCACTCAAAGCGCGCAATCTGATAAGTTGCGCAAAACAACTTTTCAGCCAAGGGCTACAGACCGAAGGTGTTTCTTATTTATTAATTTAAAAGCAAAATAAGCGCGCGGCAGCCGCTACCCGCTATTGATGCTACTCGCTCTGTGTATAAGGTGTCTAGATTATTCGGATTGGTTTCACTCGCGCACGCACAACAAGGCGCGCGCTAAATGAGTGTCTGATAAACGTCGCCACGCATACGCACGCACGCACGTACACACGCACGCACGCACACAGGCGGATACACGCACGCACACAGGGGGATACACACACGCACGCAGATACACGCACGCACGCATGCATGTATATGTCAGGGAACACCTACTGAGGCATTCATGAAGACCTTATCTGGGGCGGTCTTTGTGAGCGGGATGGCAGGTTAGCTGAACGCACCAATTCGATGAAAGGGTTCTTGGACTCAACTAAGACAATGTCCGGCTTTTCATATGCGACTCTGTGACAAGAATCGTCTCTAATTAGCTTGAAAACCCACTGACATTGCATGCTGAATATTTCGCAGCCTCTTCAGCGCTTGCTCGAAGGTCGCACGCACGGCGAATGGGCAGCTCTAGTAGATATAGTGCAATTCTTTGTATTAGGTTTCTCGGAGGCCGGGTAATTGTGTTTGTATTCGGGTACTAACTCAATGTCCCAAACCAGCAGCGCATCGGTCGCATTTATTGGGTCTTCGTACAGAAACGGAGATGTGTTTCGGCAGTGCCAACGATTGGCTGACCCTGCGCTGCTGGCTTGATTGCAGGATTGATCAATTGATTTAATTAATAGATTTACGATCGTACAATCGGGGCCTATGACCGGGAATCTTTATTAAAATAAATAATCGCATGGTTTTAAGTAACTCACCGAGTCGAATGACCCAAGGAGTCGAAACTAACAGATCCGGGGCCAAATGCTCTTTATTTTGCTGTCTAACTGGTCTACGGCCATTGCGGTCGGTATGGTGGTACGTACGCGCCTATATACACTGCTGACCATTGTGACGTCATGCCTCATTTGCTTGGACGCATCTGCAGTGCACTGCGTCCCATGTAATGGCGCCTCTGACTGATTCAGTAATGTGCCAAGGGTGAGCCAAACAAGCAGCGATGGTGTCCGAGGCGGGCACTCATCATGATCAGTACCGCATGTTAGCGTTTTAAATGGCGAGTTTTTTTATCGTTTGTAATCACCAAATTTTGGAAACGACTGAAGTAAAATAGAGGTTTGGTTTGGTTTGGTGTGCGAATGAATGACAACATCAAGCTTGTTTTCTGACATTGAAACTGAAATCGGGTTGGGGGGAATTGAGTCAGTGGCCCCCACGGCCCTTTCCCCTGGATCTTCCAGTGCATGTTGCCAAACGCCGTGTCTCTCTCTATACCGATACCCTTTTCAATCGGCCCTGCAATATCTGCAACGGGCGAAACAGAGCGCTTGTCGGGCGGCCTGTCCGATGGATTGCCTGCGGAAACTTGAGCGAATAAAGCAATAACTGCTAACAGGGCAGTAATGTGGACCAGGGGGTTGGGGAAGCGAATCCTGCACATACAGTTCAGCAACTGCGAGATCACACGCTCGGACTTGTGCGTGTTTGAACTTCATTTCTATAGCATTTAGGTATGAATATAATTGCACCTTTGTGATTAGCCCTCGGTCTGTAACGTGCAAAATAAATTGGCAAATGCGCAACTTTTTCAGGGTGGCAGCACGGTCGCGGGTGTCATGGCGCCGTTCAAATTTCGTAGCGTTGATGTGTAATTAATTATAACGATTAAATTAGGTATCTGGTAACAAATACGTGTGGGTATAGACGATTTGTTATTCAGTAAGTACAGTTGTATGCAGTAAAATCCTATCTGCTATCCCTTTAACTCTACGGGGCAGTACACGAGCTACGCCGTGCTTCCCCTACACAATATCAAGCTCAGAGATCTAGGCTTGCCTCGTCGAAGTCTCCCCGCACCACGTGCACGTCACTGGCCAACGTCTTCAGGTAGTCGTACGATTCCTTCGTGCACAGGTTGCCCGTGCACAGGATGTGCTGGATCTTACCGGGGACGAGCAATGTCTTGAACTTGGCCGGCATGCTGTTGCAGCGATGCGGAACGTGCAGATCCCCTAGCACCAGCACCAACTGTCGACGACAGAAACGCGGGCGACGAGGTGAGGTGAGGAAGTTATTATTTCCAATGTTATTTATAAATTACCTGCAATCAAGGCGCCTCGCACAAAAACATGTATCTGGCAAACTATATTTTGACTAGTATAGGAAATACATGCATGCTAAAATGAATACATTGTACAAGGCCCAATCCTAGTATAGCACCCCGGATTAGTTTAGCACACATGCAAACTATATATACCGGGCTTCAAAACTAGGAAGGATTGTGCATTGTACAACTTCAACTTCAAGTTGTGGTTTGCAGATGAGTGTGTCTTCTAGTCTACTACTCTACCGCCTACGGTCTAACAGACAATATCAATAACGAAAATGATCTAATCTCCTATTATAAATATCGCTGCACGGCTATATGCCCGGCAGCCGGCACCCTAACCCTAACCCCTGTTTACTTGAGAAATCACAGAAAATTAAAAACTACCGGGCATTTAGGAAATCGAAGACCGTGCCCGGCAGCCGTCGAATATTTTCGAAGTGTCGATTGCGAGTTCGTTCGCTCAGTGATTCGAAGCTAGGAGAATTGGGCTAGTTCGAATATACAGTTCACTTGACATTTCTAAACAAATGTAGAATACTTTGGATCACGTAGTACACTGTTTACTTGAGAAATCACCAAAAATTAAAAACTGCTGGGCATTTAGAAAATCAAAAACCGTGCCCGGCTGCCGGGCATATAGCCACTTCGTATAAATATACGTATTAATCAACGTCTCTGCAAACGTTGGCATTCATCGACATCGTTTAACATATTATTGCCCCTCTGTCTTGCCAGTGCCAGTAGTACTAGTACTGTAGTACTACTACTAACTAGTATTCGTTCTAAGTTGTACTTGTAAGTTGTAGTTGAGTTGTAGGGGCCCTAGTTGAGTTGGGTGCAAATCCACTTTAGGCACCTTAGGTATCACGAAGTGATGCACAGATTTCTGTGTATCATCAACTAATGCACAGAATTTCCGTATATCAAAGAATGATGAAAAAACCCTAACCCTAACCCTAAGCCCAACACTAACCCTAACCCTAACACACTTTGTGATGCCTAAGGAGTAAGGTTATACTTTATGACTTAGGGTTAGGGTTAGGGTTAAGGTTTTTGCATCATTCCTTGATATACGGAGTCTGTGCATCACTTCGTGATACACAGAAATCTGTGCATCACTTCGTGATACATAAGGTGCATGCCTAGTGGATTTGCGCCTTGAGTTGTAGTTGTACATTCATTCAACATTGTTACATTGTAATTTGGTCTAATTGTGTTTACAAATTACAGCTTTAGTTCCGACTTTTAGCGCCTCGGCTTTTGTTTGATCGACATTTTGATACCACACAACAAACGTTGTCAACTGAGTACCGATTCATTTCATGTCGAACCGACAAAACTGCTAAAGATTTGCAATATTCTTACCATTTTCTGTGCTTACTTGATAGACTCAGATACACCTCCTGGCAAACACGTTACCTTGTCAGGCGAATTACGATTGGTGCACAGTGACCGGTCAATTATATGTCACCCAATCACAAACTATGTAGTAAAAGCGCTAACCGCATGGGGGCGCAATGATGGGAATCGATTAGTGGTGGGAAAATAGCGGAGCCAGAGTACTTCGGTGGTTTCTCTATATTTCCTCTTGAAAGATGAGTGGTTATGTCGGTGACTTGGACGAATACCAGGAGTCCATACTGGAAGAGGTACGTGACTACCATGTAGTAAAGTACACACGATCGTAATTAGCATAATTGTTCACGCGTTTGGATAGTTCATTTCAATCGTTCAGAATCGGCTATCTTGCGTTGGCAACATTAGTCATTACCATGGCATAGGCTAGCATAGGCATAGCCACGATACGAGTATGGCTTCATTGCACAGGAAGAGAATCATATGACATTATAATTTCTGCGCGAACGGAAGAAACGGTGAGCCTCCAGACTACGCATCCGGACATCCACTCACACAGTGATCGCGCGACTTGCGTACACGCATGATTACGCAACGGGACGCTCTGCTGATTGCCGTAAATAAACAATATATTATATGCACTGCTGCCGTCTATCTTTTCATCCGTCCTCTCTCGCTCTCTCTCTCTTTCACACACACACTCACAGCGCTCTCTCTCTCTCTCTCATCATCTCAGATGCTCTCTTGATTCTCTCTCTCTGCCCTCTCGTCTCTCATCCTCGTCTCCTCGTCTCACTCGTCTCTCATCACATCTCTCTCTCTCTCTGTTCTTACTCTGTCTGCTCTCGATCATCTTTCACAACACCC